TGGGGGGGGGGGGGAGGGCGAGGTGCCAGGGAAGGGAGAGAACCCACCTGAAGATAAGGTGCCCATCCTGAAGCCCGAGACTGATGAAGTCCTTCCCTTGGCTGGCCTCTCCCATCTCCTGCCAGGGAAGCACAGGGTGTCTGGGGTCCCCAGCCTGGAGAGCTGAGGCCCCTGACGGTGTGGCCTCCGCCTTTTTCTTTCCCACCGCCCTGCTGGACGCCCACACTCACCATGCCCTGCCAGAGCAGGAGGCCGCTGGCTGTGCTGGTCCGAACTTCCAGCTGGATGGTCTCAGGCACCCTGGGCAGGCTAGGGGGGGGGGAGGGGTAGGTGGACAGGTGAGGGGGCAGAAGTCCCAGGTTCCCACTCCCCTCCCCGGGCTCACAGGCTCTCCCAACACCCATCTCACCTCCTGGGGAAGACGTAGTTGGGGAGGGCTAGGAAGCCACCATCGTCGAAATAGGCTCCGTACTGTCCTGGGGCATCTGTGGGAGAAAGGGGGATATGGGACAGCTGCTCACCTGCTCGGAGTGTCCACCCGGCATCGGGTCCTCTGACCCTACCTCCACCCCGTCATGTAGGACCAGGGGGCTCTGAACCTGCAGGCCCTGGAGACCCAGGGGGCGTGGACAGAATTCAGGGGCCTGTGGACTTGGATAGAAAACATTAGGGTTCTATGTTCACTGTCGTCTCACTGGATTTAGCAGTTTCTCTAGTTATGCACGCAGGCAACAAAGGAAAGGAGCAGCAGGAGGGCCTGTGACTTCCTCACCAATAGATTTCCTTTTCGAATTGCAGTGGGTGCAAATATCTCAGAACACTGTGTACGCTTATTGAACTGTGTTAGCTGTTAGGACCAGCACTAGATCTTGTTATTTAATGTGTTGATGAAGCAGCACATAGGTTACAGTTGAGAAAATTTAAAACATTTTGATCATCTTATTTCAGTGTAATTGGTTTCCTATTTTTGTGATTGTTGATTTTAATACATTTTTATTGATTTCAGAGAGGAAGGGAGAGGGGGAGAGAGAGAGATAGAAGCATCAATGATGGGAGAGAATCACTGACCAGCTGCCTCCTGTACACACACTACCGGGGATTGAACCCCCACCCCAGGCATGCGCCCTGACTGGGAATAAAACCGTGACCTCCTGGTTCATAGGTTGACGCACAACCACTGAGCCATGCCAGCCTGGCTGCATTTTTTTTTTTAAACAGTCAATAGGTCCATCCCTAGTTGCTAAGTCCTTTTCCTGGTTTTAGCTCTGAAAGTCCCACAGCTCAAGAAACCCCTCAGCCCTCAGGAAACTGGGACAGTTGGTCACCTAAGTCCATGGCACCTGAAAGATCCAGAACCTTTGTGTTCCTTCCATCTCCCAGATAGGAAGCCAGGCTCGGGGTGAGTAACTTGCCCAGGAAGCAGGAAGTCTGGATGGCAACCTGGACCTTTTGGCTCTAACATCCATACTGTGTGCACCTCCAACATCCCAGCCCTACCTGCTCAGACCCATCCCACAGGCCAGTGCCGGCCCCTGTGGGCCTGGCAGCTGCAAGGGTTGGGGATACTTGGCCACCCTCCACCAAATGATGAGGAGAACAGCTAACATTTACCGAGCACCTACTATGTGCCAATCCCTGTGCAGGGAGTTTCACATCCAGCTGTAAACATCATTTCATTGAACTGGATCCTGATAATAATCCCATGACTTACATATGATATTCATAAAAGCTAACATCATATATCCACCAGGTACCAGGTGTTGTTCTAAGCATTTTAAAGACTTTCAATAATTTTACTCTCACACAATATTTTATCCAAAGCCTTGTGGAAGGATGTTACTTCTCTCCATTGTACACATGAGGAAACAGGCACAGAGAGGTTAAGTGACCCACTCAAAGTCACACAGCCAGGCAGGCTGGCTCCAGAGTCTACGCTCTGACCCACGACACCACCACCTATCTCAGTAGTGATAAATGAGATAGTCTATAAAGCAGCTAGCACAGTGCCTGTGAATGTTCAAGATGGTAGGACCCAGCTCTGTGTGGCTTTCTTTGCTCTTTATTCTACTTGTGCCCAGCGAGCCTCTCACGTGGACCTGTTCTGTTTAGAGCCAGGATTAAAGGTGTGGGGTAACTGGACCGGGAGCTGAGAGACCCGAATCCAATTAGGAGACAAGTCCACTCAGCTTCTCTGGAAAGTACGTACCGTTGCCCCCACTGCCTTCAAGATGCCAGTCAGATTCCGCGGTGCCATGTCTAGAGCCTATGGAGAAAGGCAGGGTCCCGTCAGTGGGCACAGACGCTGTCCCGCCCCAGAGCTCCGATAAGGGATGGAGAGAAGCTGGGGCAGTTACCTTGTTGGCAGCGGGGGCCAGAGAAGCCGGGGGGACAGAGGCAGTGGGTGCCCTGGCAGGTGCCCCCATGCAGACAGGGCTCACGGAGCTGGCAGGGGTTCTCCTCATGCTCACAGAGGTCTCCTGCGGGTCATGGCAGAGGTGAGTGGCACGAGCTGGAGTTGCTGCTGACCACCCCCCGCCCCTCCCTCACCCAGGGCCTGGGCAGCTCACACACCTTTGAAGCCATCTCGACATAGACACTGAAACTCAAACTCGCCAGCAGGAAAGCATGTGGCGCCGTTCTGGCAAGGCTGGCGCTCACACGGGGAGCTGTCATAGCACTGCCCGATGCCCCGGCTGCCCAGGAAGCTGTAGGTGAGGTCTAGCCGCTTCCCATTCACTGACACCTGTGGGCATGGGGACACTGAAGGACTCAGACCACACAGGAGGTGGGCATTGGCGTACCAGCAGAGAGAATGCAGTAGAGCGGTAGCTGGGAACCCAAGCTGGAATTTGAGTGGAACAGGGGACTGTAGGGTAGGGAAGGGAGAAACAGGAGCACCTACTGTGTGCCACCAACATCCATCAGTACAGTCAATCCTCAGTACAACCCTTCAAATGAGGTGTAATTACCCCATTTTACAGAGGAGGAAACTGAGGCTCCCAGGTGAAGTTTCTGGTCCCAAGGGCCTTAGCTAGCTGCAGGTGGGGGAGTCTGGTTTGCCCCCCTCCCCTCCGTGTCCTCTGGAAGCTGCTCCTCACCTCACCCAGGCAGCCACGGAAGGGAGTGCTAATGTTGGTGGCCGGGGACAGCTGCACCGAGGGCTCCACGCCACCGAGGTAGAGGAGGGTGTGCAGGTTGAGGCCTTGGCTCTTGCCCGGGGAGGAGCGCAGCACAGGGCGTCCGCCGTCCACCCGCAGGCTGCCGTCCTTGTTGAGGCGCTCGGCAGACACACGGTGCCAGCGGCCCAGGGCCAGTGGCTCTGGGCTCC